TCTCTCTCTCTCTCTCTCTCTCTCTCTCCTTCCTTCCTTTTTACACATTGTCAACAAGCCTTTGTCCCTGCTATAACCGGTTGGGCTCCGATGAGGCCCTGTTATTGCCGATAACTTTTAATATGGACAAAGAGTAGGAAAAACTGGGGATTTAAAAAATCCCTGTTATTACTGGATCCCTGTTATTACTGGGCCTGTTATATATATGGTTTCCACTGTACTTATTATTCAGCCTCCTTTCTTTAACTATCATCAGAACATTTATTGTCAGCATGGCACTAATCTTTTTTGTTTATTGAATTTTTAGCCACCTATAGTTCCTGTTTGGTGACTATTCATCGCTTTCTCCCCACTAATAGCGTACCTGGCTCATATGAGTCTAGTGAAATATAAGGAGAATTATAATGAGGAGCGATAGGCTCTCGGCTGTCAGAGTCTGGGCCGAAAACAATGGGTCTACCCCCTTCCTTCCCTCCCCTTATCCACCGTCACCCCAGCTAGACACCAAGTTCTTATAATTAGCATTTGACACACTTCCCCACTTTGTTACAACAGTGTTCTGAGAACTGAGAAGTGTGATGAAAAACGTTTGATTACATAATGATGGAAAACTGTTGTGTGCTATCTTTGTCCAGCTTTGTATAGTATCTGATTGTAGACTTAATCTGAATGGGACAGCGTCATTGGTACAGTATCAATTGACTTTTTGCCATCATACAGTACAGTTCTTTTTATTACATATTTACAGGTCGAGTGCACGTCGATATTGTGTGTGGGTGTGTAGAAAGTAAAAGGCTTTGGTTAAAATACCGGAGGCCATGACGAGCAGTTTATTGCGCTTCTCACTTTCAGTTTGTTTTCTAACATATAGACTCTAGTAGTGTTTCTTTTTCTATGCCGTTCAAGTCAGTTTCTATTAAATAAGACTGAGTAACTTCCATCTCATACATTAATCATATTCATATTGTTTCTTGACACTACCTTTCAGCTCTTTCACATTATAATTAAAATGTTTACAGTGGTGTGTGTGTGTGTGTGAGTGGGGGAGGGGGTGGGGATGGCGAAAGTAGGGGTATAAAATGAGGAGAGACAGAGAAAGAGAGAGAGAGAGAGAGAGAGATAGAGAGAGAGAGAGAAAGAGAGAGAATGTGTTTGTTAGTGTGTTTGTGTGTGTGTGTGGTGTGTTTGTGTGGTGTGTGTGTGTT